AGAGTTGCCAGAACAAACTTCATACTTGATAAAATTGAGGAATTGAGGAAGGGTGTTGTGAATAGCCTTCAACGGTGCTGCTAGGTTAGCTTGCCTCGATACACCAGCATCCCATCCGTTCTCTGACCTCCGATGAATGCTTCCCACCACCTCATGCCACAATCTCTCTCTTTCCAAAGGCCATTTCCACAACCATTTCCCTAACAGAGCTTGATTCTTTCTAAACCCTCCCAATTCCCAAGCCCCCCTCTAATAGGTAGGTAAGTTAGCCAAGGTAGCTCTTATTAGGGTAATTCTCCCTCCTAAAGAGATATAGTTCCTCTTCCATGAGGCTAATCTCTTCTCAAACTTTTCTATCAATGGGGTCCAAAATCTACTCTCCCTAGGATTTGCCCCTAAAGGAAGCCCTAAATATGACATAGGCCAAGCAGAGGTGGAACACTCAAGACACTCCGCAATAGCCTCAACCTCCCCTACCTCCAAATTTATACCCGCTATGCAGCTCTTTTCCAGATTTATTCTCAAATTWGAGACACTTTCAAATCCTTTTATTATCTCCTTTAGGTTTGCTACCTTTTCACTAAGACCTTCACAAGAAATCATTAGGTCATCTGCAAACTAAAGGTTTGCTACCTTTATGCTTGCAACTTTTAGCTTCATTTTACAAACAATCAAGTTTGACTTGCGATAGCTTGAAGAGAAAGTGGAAAACTTGACTTTAGTAATTATAATTTTGTTTCATGAATCTTCCGATTTTGTTTCATGCTGTCATTGATTTTAACTGCATGGCATAGGGAGTGCATAGTCTCATGGTTGAAACTGCTGGTTTGCTCCCTACACTAAGATCCTATGTTCCTACTCCCCTGGCAAATGAATCAGCAAGTCTGGTTTAGAAATATACATGAATTAACTGTTCAACTTATAATCAGGCCACTCCAGCCTGATAGTATCCATGTTCTGCATCTATACTATATGCAGATCTGTTGAACAACCAAAAAGAATTTAATTGTTTAATATTCTGCTGCAGGCAGAAGTGACTCAAAGGCTAAGTACTGCAAGAGAAGCTGCCAGCAAACCTGTTGGGTTGCATAGCCATGAGGATCTTGCCCGGAAGCTTCAGGTGACTGCAAGTTTGCAATTGGGTTGTTGATATATCATGCAAAATTTGTTTGTTTATTTCTGGTGCTGATGCCCACTGTTTTGCACTACTAACTAATCAAGTACTGTTCCTCATTAAGTCTGAATTGATGATAAAAATCTCATTTTCTTTGTTACCCTTAGTTCATTAACACTGTGTTTAGTTTGAAGGAAAAAGTAGGGAAAGGTAAGGAAACCTATACAAGCTTTGTAAAGGTTCCCTTACCTTTCCCTACATTTTCCTTCAAACCAAACATAGCCTAAGGCTCAGTGAACAACAAATATTGTCTATTCATATTATGGTATTCATATGAAATTGGGCAATCTTACATGAGTCTGATTAGGCACTTGTACCATTATATTACATAGCAGTTTGTCATGTTAACTATGACTAGTCTTCTTAATCAACATATTTCTATTAAGCTACTTTGAAAATTCGAGAACTAAATTCTTTAAAGAAGCTCAATGGAATTTATATGTTATTTATTAGTAAATGGAATTTGTATTTGATGGACTTTCATTTGTTCATATTTTATATTTACAAATGTAAGTTTGTATTTGTCACTTTTGTGCTGTTTCTTTGAGATGCCTTTGTTATACTGTATTTTGTATCTAATAAAACTTGTTACCAAAAAGAAAGGACAAATGTGAAGAGTATTTTTGCATGTACACAACTTATGGGGTGATATGTCTTCCATTTGTGGTTTAAATTCTTTATGGTGCCTACTCTAATGCTGGCATTATATATGAGAGGGGTTTCATAGATGGCTCTGATAGGCTTTTGCTACCTGCTACTTCACTATTGATGTTTCCATTTTTTGAGGTGTTTAAATCTACATCTTTCAACAAAACGTTCACCAGTGAATTTTTTATTATAAGGGGTTGTTTTCATTCTAAGTAGAGCTATTTGTAAGCTATAGAAATTCCAACTGCTCTGGACTCCTGAGGTAGAATTGTTTCATCTTCAATCCTGAATTACTATATATTAGACTGTAGATTGTTGACCGGGGGTGTAGAACTGCAATGGTGGATATCAATCTAATGCTTGGCATTTTTTATGCATAAAGTGGTCTCTCTTAAACTGAAGTGTATAGGTTAATTCCATATGCAAATATTAAGAAAAATTATTATTATTATTAAGGGGCCCTTGCTTGGTGCATTGGTAAAATCTAGGTCTGACAAGTCGGAGATTGGCCACATTATGCAAAAAAGCCAAAGGTTAGGTCCTTATCCAGTCTACCCCTCCCAAGACACTAGATAGCTAGGAGTAACATTGGATAATGACCTTTTCATTGTCATCGTCATTACTTTTTTTTTTCAGATGATAGTTGGTGGTTTAGATTTATAGACATTGGTGAATTACAGTTTGTATATCTAAAGAATTAGGAAATCATGGCTTGTTATTGTTTAAAAGAAACTGCCAGTGCTATATACAACTATCTGATTTGGCTCCTATTTCTAAGTATAGGAAGGAGCCTGCAATAGCCAAGTTGAGATTTTCTGCCAACAAAATGCCTTCCAACCCTCTAGCAACTTGATCTAACACCGCACATCTCACCATGAGACTGTGGCCCACCATAAAAGTGGGACCCACCATGTATAAGATGTGTGGTGTATGATCATGTTGGTAGAGGGTTGGAACACGTTATGTGGGCAGGTGACCCGGACTCGTAATAGCTGTGCCATCTTTATTTATTTGTTCATATTTTGGGATATTCTTTTACCTGCCACTATTCTGAAAGGATCACAATCTTGCATGGTTGCTCCTGTCTCTTCTCTGGACTTCATCTTATCCTGAAATTGTCATTGATTTTATAAGTTCATGCCTTATGGATGACCTTTTTTTTACAGGAGGAGATGGACAAAAATCGTAGGGTATCATCAGGTAACTAATGGTGAAAATTTTACTTCTAGTATAATGTTTTTTTTGGGTGGTTATTCCTTCCATATTGGGGTTTGGGTTGTCATTGCTGTTTGCAATGTCTTCAACATTTGGGCTGTGAGCACTATTGATTGTTGAGTTGACTTATAGGACTGCAGACAGATCTAATTGAATAGGTTATGCCTAGATCCAAATTTGACTCGTTAATGTTTCGATTTTAATTAAATCCCATCCCTCTACCTCTAATTTAGATCGGAATTGGATTGGATTTAGATATTGATGAATACCATTAAGAAATTAAACTAAAAAATGATGAGAAAATTGTATATTAGTAAAATAGACTAAAAATAAATTTGTTCTACTTCTAGTATATCATGAATGGAATGGCTTAAAATAATTTATCTATCCAAGACTTTACTAATATATGGATATTAATTTTAAGTAGATGTAAAAAGAAAGCCCTTAGCTCAGACCAGAGGGCTTTCTACTTCAGAAGTATGGCAACCTATCTTTTCGAGAAAGAGCATTCAGAGAGTGATTTTTTCACTTTAAAGTGGGAGTAGTTAACTCCACTCAAAAGAAGTACTCATTTAAGACGCATCTATGCCTATTAAAAAAAGGTAAATCCCTTAAACCTCCTGGAAAGGCCTTAAATCTCCCCTGAACTTTGACCTGTCCCTAAACTTCCCTTGACTTTTGGGGATAAAGGGACTTAGAGACCCCTTCACTTATTTTTACTAATATATGGATATTAATTTTAAGTAGATGTAAAAAGAAAGCCCTTAGCTCAGACCAGAGGGCTTTCTACTTCAGAAGTATGGCAACCTATCTTTTTGAGAAAGAGCATCCAGAGAGTGATTTTTTCACTTAGAAGTGGGAGTAGTTAACTCCACTCAGAAGTACTCACTTAAGAAGCATTTATGCCTATTAAGAAAAGGCAAATCCCTTAAACCTCCTGGAAAGGTCTTAAATCTCCCCTGAACTTTAACCTGTCCCTAAACTTCCCTCGACTTTTGGGGATAAAGGGACTTGGAGACCCCTTCACTTATTTTTAAGCAATGTTTTAAAACACGGAGGTGTGACATGAGGCGTTCCACTACTAGAGGTGTGAGGCGTAGTTCAGATCACAAGAGGCATAAGCCTCCTGAACACAAGGAGGCGTAAGGGGTTAGGAGGAAAAAGGAGGAAGGGGAGGAGGATGAAGAGGAAGGGGGGATCTTATTTTTTCTTTATTTTTAATAAAAATCTTTTATTATTAAGAAGAATAAAGATGCATAACATTAGTTGAAAGGGGGGGGGGTCTTGTCTTTTTATATAAGATGTGCATGAGGCGTATGCCTCTAGCACGTTTCATGAAAAAGTGCATCAGGCATACGCCTCAGAGGTGTCAGCAGCTCTGGCATACGCCTCAGGGTGTTTTGGGAGCACTTGGAGGCGCGCCTCCAGGCGTATGCCTCCTACCATCCTACGCTTTTAAAACACTGTTTTAAGTTCTCAGAGACATTAAATGTCTGTTATGCTCATACTAATTCCTCCAATCAAGTTAGTAGATTTTTCCCAATTCCAACTTATCCTTGAACTGTTAATACAAGTAAATATGTTTTAGTATTTTATTTTATTTTTTACCACAAAAAAACCTGTTTTGGGGTAAAGAGAGGTTTAAGGGTATTTCAGTCATCAAACATTTGATGATTTTACATAAGAGCAAATTTGGCATTATAATATGTTTAAATCCATGACATCAGCGGTTGCTGTTAGATTTCTGGCAGTAAAGTAACGAAAGGGGAGATTTATAAGTCCCTTAGTAACAAAAGTCGGGAGGTTTAAGGGCAGGTCAAAGTTGAAGAGTGGTTAAGGCCTTTTCAAAAAACTCAAGGGTCTTATAAAAAATTCATTCTTTAATGGAATAGGCCATAAATAACAAATTAAACCTGATTTAATTTACTAAATTAAATAAGAAACTCAAATCAAATTTACTACATATGCATATGTTGTGAATATCAAACAGAATAACAAATAGTGTGGGACCCATTCTTCTAGATAAATGGGTCATTAATTAAAAATAAAACTTTATTTAATCCCTTAAATCAAATAAAAAAACCTATCTATAGAAACATCCTTAAAAAATCAAATAAAAAACCCAACCTCAACTTACAATATTTAATGGGTGTCAAACAAATCGTTAATTACAAATAAAACCTTATTTAATCTCTCAAGTCAAATAAAAAAACTTATCTATAAAAAAATCCTTAAAAAATAAAATAAAAACCTAACCTCAACTTACAATATAGAATGGGTGTCAAATAAAATAGCTCAAATTAGTGGATGGGATTGCGGTTGGATCCATATTTGATCCACTTATGGAATTAAATTTGGATTGCCTCAATACGATTGGATTTGAATCCAGACAATGGATGCAAGTCCTATTGAGCTAATTTCACGGGAGATGTGCCGTATCTGGGTTGATTTGGGTCTTGATATTCTTATCTTGTCGATCAAAGGTCTAGCTACATGCCTTCTGCAAGTTTTTCACAGTAGTTTGATGACAATTTGCATGCGGTTGAGCCTCAAAATTGGAAGAATAAGACACGTCTTTCTGGCCTTTGTTCAAATAATTTTACTCTGCAGGTTCAAAGTCAGATGGATCCGGGAAGCGGATGAGAGAAGTTGCCTGTCCCACTTGCACTGTCCATCTCCAGGTTTTGGAATTCTTGGCCTGTTTGCATTGTTCCTTCATTTTTTCTTTTTGAAATACGTGCACATGTGCAGGAATAAAGGTAACAAAACAAACTAAGTCTACTTGTTGCTGTTGTCTTTGTTCAGGTTCAGGTTCCAAGCTCTGGTTCCGAGACCATAGAATGTGGAGTCTGCCAGCATCCATTTCTTGTGAGTGCTCATTGATCCCCAGTTTGAGCACCGTCACATCATGATCCCAGCGGCAGTTTGTTTTGTTGATACAAAAAGTAATTTTTCTTCTTAATTCCCTCTGTTCTTCAGTATGGTTCTGCTGTCAATAAGCATCTAGATTCATGGAGTTTGTATATATGATCACCACCTGTTGATTCCGAATGCGTGTTGTCCAAATTGAATTCTTTAGTTCCCTTGTGTATCTGAATGTAATGCGAGAGCATCATACACGATGTTTTTTATAACAGTCAATCTGTTGGTATGCTGTTTGTGTTTATTTATTCCCTGTCGCTCTGTCATGAAGCTCCTCCTTCTAGTTTTGATTCTAACAAAAACCATCGTTGCAGCTTAAAAAAAAAGTTAAGTGATAACATCGATGAAATACGTTTTACCCTTTGAGCTGTCCATTGGAGCTCCCGGGCCAACATCGGAACATGAGAAATGGGCAGATCGGATTCATTCTTTTACAATAAAACCATCATCCAATAGAAGAATTTTATGGATTTCTGGTGTGGTGTGATGTCGCCATCCAAGCCTGGCACTCATCCGGTTATCAAGACGCCCTTCTTCTGGGTAGTTTCTCTTCGACGGGTGAATATGAATTTTCTCAAATCTCAACTCAAACGGAATTGGTTTCAGTGAATATTAATTGCATGAGTAAGAGCCGTGAAACTATAATGTTTCTATATGAACCGCTTAGTAGCAAGCCAGCAACAGCTTTCCTTGGTGGTAATAAAGAGCCTGCAACAGTTTTCTACCATGTCGCTGGCAAAAAAAGTAGAAACTGTAATATCCGGAGAGGGGTCTGTTTGCTTTAAATTGTCCAGCACCACTAGCTTTATCCAAGGTTTTAAATATTATACACCCGATCGCCGGTAGGGGCGTATCGGGAGATATCGATAGTGGTTTTCTATTTTTTTTATTTTTTTTTTTCAAAACCGATTCAGGGGCGCTGGTTTAAGGCTCCTCCACTCTCTTAACTGGTCAGAACCCCGATACACCCTTTGTAGGGGTGTATCAGAGAGCTCCCAAAATGATACATATCGGCCAATATGGGCCGATACGTCTTGATGCTTTGAACCTTGGCTTTATCCCGGTATCACCACCTTCCATTTCTAACCAGAAGAAACCTCACTTAATCAAATCTATGCTCTCTTTATTGTGTAGTCCGATAATGCTATGAATTGGGAACTATTTAAAAAATTAAGAAATGAGAAATCTAAGTTATCTAACACATAAATGAAAAAATACTTAACCAACTTGAAATAAGAATGATGGAATAACAAATTGGAAGAAAAATAGGAATTTTATTTCATTTAAATTTGAATGGTACAAATTACAAATACAATGATTGGATCATTGCATACTTGAACGAATGAAATATGAAAATAGAATAAATTAATAAATTATAAAAAATACAATATGGTTACAAATTGAAAATACAAAATTACATTGTTAAAAAATTAAAAAAATATATAAAATAAATTAAATAAAATTAAAAAAATTTACAATAATTTGAAAAAAATAAAAAATCTATATGAGTAGTTAAATCCATGAATCATCATTATGACTTCCATTATCTGCTTCAGGTGAAATATCCGATGTAGTATCATGCCCTCCCTTATCTTGTTTTGCATCTAGCCAATCCTTGAAGTAGATGCACATCTCTATGCTTTTATCGTTCATGCAGCTTCTTTTGTCATCCAACACCCTGGTACCTGCACTAAAACAAGACTCCGATGGAATTGTAGACACCAGAGGGGTTAGTAGATCATGTGCCATGATAGCGAGAACCGGATAAATTTTCGAGCGTTCACTCCACTAGGCTAAAATATCAAAATTATTTGATCCTTCACCAAAATTAGAAAAAATTGCTTGTAAATAAAAATTAAGTTTAGTAAATGAACTTGTTGTAGAAATAGGAGATTTCTGCCTTCTACTTATTAAATAAAAAAGTTTTTCTCTTCTACTACTGGGCTCAAGGTTAGAAGTATTTAAAATTATTAATTTATTTTCTCTTCTAGAACTTGTAGAAATATTTCCTACAACTTCAGATTCATACAATTGTACATTTTAAATAATAAATTATTAATTTCTTCTTTTTTATTTCTTATATCAATATTCATATTTTTACAATATGGTTCAAGTAAACTATCTAAACCATCTTTCCTAATCCCAGGGTCTAATATTGTAGCTAAACAATAAAAAGGCGAAATGTTCTCCCAATATTTTTTAAAATTTTCCATAATTTCAACAATACATTGAAATTGTGGATTATTTCTATACTTTGCAAAACAATCATTAATTACCATGAATTGATAAGGTAAATTACAACTAGTTGGATAATAAATTCCAAATAATTCATTAGTTGCATCATAAAAATGTTTTAAAAAATCTCTTATACAGAATATCATTTCCCAGTCTTCCTCAAATATCATATCATTAGGCATTTTTAAATTACAAAAATCAAGAAGAATTTGTTTATGGGATATACAACTTTCTAACATAGCATAGGTAGAATTCCACCTATGCTTTACATCTAATATAAAATGTTTATATTTTAAACCATAATTTTGACATAAATATTTAAATTCTTGTTTTCTTGTCCCTAAACTTTTTATATATATAATACAATTTCTAATTTTTGAAATATGAGTAGAAATAATATTCAAGGCATCTTGAATACATAAATTTAAGATGTGACATGCACAACTAATATGAAATAATTTACCATTTAAGCATGGTGTTAATTGAGATTTTAAAATATTTATTGCAAAATCATTATTGTTGTTATTATCAAAACTAATAAAAAATAATTTATTTTCTATTTCATAAGCATGCAAAGTATTTAAAATACTTGCAACAATAGCTGGGCCACTATGTGGCCATTCAAGCATAGTAAAACTTAAAAATTCTTTTATTCAAAAGCCAATTTTCATCAATGAAATGGCCGGTTACACAATTATAACTAATATTAAATTTGGATGTCCGAACATCTGTAGTAATTGCAAATTTAGAATTAAGATTTGCTAACAAAGAAATTAAATTTTGTTTATATGAATAAAAAATTTTTAAAGCATCAGTTCTTATAGTATTCCTAGAAACTTTTTTATATTGTGGGTTTACAGAACTATGCAACCATTTTTCTAGCTTTGGATCTTTAGCTAATATAAATGATTGTTCTGCATGTACAATAGACTTAGCAAGTTCTTGTCTCATTTTTTTTCTTGTAAATATTTAAAAGTACCAAAACTACTCCCACTCCCAATCTGTGTTTGGGTTGTTTCTCTCCCCTCATCTTCTTCTCGCTCATTTGTGAGCAGGTGTTTGCTCAAATGACCCATACCACCCTTGCTACAATAACTAAAATCCTTCTTACATTTTTGGCAAACGACCCTTTTCCCCTTCTCCTCAATATCTTCTACTTTGAAAAATTTCCAAACCGGGCTACTTAGCTTAGAGGCCCTTCTTTTTCCCCTAGTATCAGTACCGGGGGTGAAAGTTCCATTTCCATCGACATCAATCGCATAAGTGCTAACACTATCATGATGCGATTGAATATCATAAATGGTGAACATGTTGGGGAATCAGTTTTCAGAAGAGCCCGCCATTTTTTTTTAATTCTAAAAAGATAAAAATTAATCAAATTCGACTTATCCGGATTGCCGATTCAAAATCCCAATTTGATTTCAACGGTTGAAGCCTTTCAACATCCAAGCCTCCCAAATTGAGTTACTTGAACTAGTTGAGCAAGCCTTCTTCTTGTTGAAAGTTGAAACTTCAATAAAGTTGAGACTTGAGAATTGGAGAATGCAGAATCAGACAATCAGATAATCAAAATTACTCAGATTACAGAGAATTGAGAATGTATGAATATGAGAGAGAGAAGAGATTAAGAGAATTGTTGAATTGGTGTGATGAGAATGGTAGAGGATAGGGGTATGTATAGGAATTTAACATAATTCAATTGCCCAAAATACCAAAAAAACTAGTTGTTATTTAGTTGTTGGGAGGGGTATTTTGGTTATTGTAAAGTTATTTTTAATTTTACCCAAAAAGCCCCCATAAATTAGTTGTTATATAGATGTTGGGGGGCATTTATGTCATTTTTTCAACCCCCTATAAGCAAAATACACAAATACCCTCTAATATGGCTGTTTATATTGGGGGGGGGGGGGGCAACGACTATATTTTGGGTGGGCTGAGCGCGGCCTACTATGGGCCATGTTGTGCCGTGCCGTTCCGGCCCATGGGCCTTGAACCCCCGGTCCACCGTGCTGTGTCGGGTCGGGCCGGTCCAAAATTGTGCTGCCCGACCCGATTTACACATCTACTTGAACTTTCTCTGACATGGTTGCAATTAGACCCCCTTTGTTAGAATCCTCTAAAAAGAGGCATAAAATGTCCAAAATATCTATGCAATTAGCTCAGACCAGAATGTTTATTTTTCAAAATTTTCTTCATATGAATTGCTAGCCCAAATCTTTCCAATCTCTTCTCTGAAATTGATTTATTTTTCAAATTTTCCCTAATATCAACCACTCAAAGGTAAAGCTGCAACTTTAAATTCTCTATTTTTTTTCTTTGTTTATAAAGTTTGTATTTTTTTTCTTTTGTAGAAACCAGTTGCATGGGTATTTTTGACAATTTTTTGTGCCTCTTGTTAGATGATTCTAACAGAGGGGGTCTACTTGCAATCACCAACTCCAAGGACATTTCAACAACAGTCAGAAACTTCAGAAGAGGTTTCGACAATTTACCCTTATTTCTTTTTCCGTAAAACTAGTTTTTAATTGCATGGTTTTCAAAACCGGACCAGACTGGACAGTCAAACCGGAAAAACTGGGAACCGGTCATGTGACTGGTTCTGTTTTACCCCAGAACCGTTATTTCCCCCAAATCGTTGATTTGGTCACCAAACCATTGACCCAGGTGGTTGAACCATTCGAACTGTTTGAACCGTTCAACATTTTGAGTGGTTCCCAGTTTCTTCTGTAGAAACCAGTTGCATGGGTATTTCTGACAAATTTTTGTGCCTCTTGTTAGATTATTCTAACAGAGGGGGTCTAGTTGCAATCACTAACTCCAAGGAGGTTTCAACAACAATCAGAAACTTCAGAAGAGGTTTCAGCAATTTACCCTTATTTCTTTTTCCGTAAAACTAGTTTTTAATTGCATGGTTTTCAAAATCGGAACGGCCGGACAGTCGGACCAGAAAAACCATTGACCCGGGCGATTAAACCATTTGAACTGAACCATTCAACAGTTTGATCGGTTATTA